CGATTTCAGGCATCTTCTTTTCAGTTTCTGATATAATAGTTCATCTTTGTCCCATGCAGTGAGGTGTGAATGTGAGTTGTAATACTGTATGCAAGTATTAATGGTGCTGATGAATAAGAGACAAGGGCATTATCATAATTTGTTACTGGTATAAATCATAATTTGTTACTGGTGTTGGCTATCTCTATTCCTGTAGACCAGAGGAACATGACTGTACTCTTAGAACATACAACAACAATAACATCTGTTTACAGCATCACAACTCGTATTTACACCTCATGACATATCCCATGTCATGAGGTGTAAATGGTCCAAGTCGGACCAAAACGTCATCATAAGCTCCTCTCTCCTATGTGCGGGTTATTTGTGTATGGGATGTGTCAGACTGAAAAGATACCTGGAATCATCAATTATTAAACTAACCAACACCATCAAAGAAAACAATGAGATGTTTGCTTTTTCTGCTTCCATGATGCATATATTAAAGCATAGTAAACTGAACATGGACCAACAAGCCTCCTGCAGAGAACCTTCCATTCTTGGATAGTTTTTCTTACACCCAAGCACTTGACACATCAACAAATGATGTCACTCCCTCCCTGTGGATTATTTAAGCCAATGTTTTTCATGTCCGCTATGTAATTTCAAAAGCCTAATGTTGGATGAAATGTACAAGTAAAGGTCTTCAGTGCAGTTGTCACCAAGTCTGGGCAGCTTACCTCTGTCTCCATCAGTACCTGTTTTTCAATTTCATACCCGGTGACATGATGTTAATTTTTGGCTTTTACCCTAAAAATCAAACTTATTAATTTCTCAGATATATAGTACAAAATTTGTTCATTTAAATTTATTCCTAATTACTGCTTGAGTTATTTTTTTAGCCGAGTTGAACATTAGCAGAATAATGCATAGCACTGGTACTTAGGGTTGTGGTTAGGAATTGTTGATTAATGAGCTTCTTATTGCTTAGGGCAGCATTTGTGAGAAATTTGGATTGCATCTTTTACATAAGAATATGATAATAAATAAACACTGCAATAGGCCTACTAGCCCATGCTAGGCAGGTCATAATTACATACAAATATGTTAGCAGGAATGTTTGGTTAACCAATTTTTAAAGCTACCCAGAGTATTCACTTCAATGATACTACATATTTGGCAGTTTATTTCACTCATTAACAGTGCCATTGAAAAACCAGTGCTTTCCTATATCCTTTCCAAATCAGAAATTATCCATTTGAATCCATTGTTTTAGTTCTGTTTTGGTTAGATATCCTCAACACTTGAAGTGTCATTATCTGAACCACTTAAAAGTATTGTGGTTCAGATAAGTTGTATGAAGGCTTCCTCAAATATATATAACAATCTAGGTTATAAATAACTCATCAGTGGTATAAATTGAGTTAACAGATATTCAATAAAGTTAGAGCATTTTTATCCTATTCTACCATGGACCATACAGTTCTTGTAAAAGACTGACCTCCAAATAAAATCTCATGGACCAGGCCATGGGGGTGTTGACCCCTGAAACACCCTCCAGGTATACATACAACTGTAGTGTCTAAAATGATCATAATGTAGGGGAAAGCTGTTTCTTTATTCATGTCAAAAGAAATTCCATGTATAAAAAAGGTCATTAGAAACCCCAGTATACTTCCTCCTCCACCTATATCCAAAGCTCATTCACAACCTGTTGGTTGCAAGGTTAAACATAACATTTTTCAAATAAAACTAGTTTCATCTTACTTCCTGGAATTCAACCTTATTATAAATATACTGGACCACAGTATCTAATGAGAATATCGGCATAAAGACAGTGCTGTCCGAAATTGTTAAAAATCATATATAATTTTTATCAATTTCAACTTTATTTCTTTCAGACCACACTTGGAGATAAGAATGAATATTTTTCAACAGAATCATCAAAGGAAAACCAAAAAGTAAAATGAATTCTTTGATTCCATGCACAATACGCGAATTTAGCTCAAATGACATAAGAAAAAATTATGTCATGCTAAGCCAAAAAAAGCTGTTTTGAACAGTGAAAGATGTGTTTCTATGTCAGAGGCTATGGGGGCCCAAGTAGAACATATCATATTTATTTTCTACCTAATTTGTACCTACCACTACCTTTTATGGTCCCAGTATAAGTGCTCATTCTTGCCCATTACAGCTTCACTTGCCTCTCCTCACTTGCACCAAAAATATTGTGGTAGAGGATCTTCACACTCAGCCATGGGCAAAGCCAACACTGAGAAGCAGTATGCCGAAAGATTGGCAAGGTGCAGCACCAGATGAACCTGCTGTTACAAATGCACACAGGTTCTATGACTGGTGTCAGCAGACAAGCACTCTAGTGCAACCATAAATAGAGACCCTAGTTGAAAACAAGTATTGATGACCCACCAGTGACAGCCCAGGGATTGATATGATTTAGACAGGAGTCCGTCTATCCTCAAAGCAAGGCACCCTGAATCTTTGTACTGGGAGAGGCACTTTGCTGTGACACTAAGGTTGATATATATGGATGAGAGATTGGGTTCTGCTACTTATTTTTAATGACTTAGCTATGCAAGCCTTGGACATCTGTAGGAGAGCAAGACCCAACTGAGAACCCCAGTGAACTTATTTCAGAACTGAACCATGGCTCGTGTGGAGACACCCTTATACATCTACTTACATGAGCTAGCCTCTCAGGTTGAGCAAAACATATGTTTAATGAACTTGCTACACATGTAAAGGGAAGGTTGCTCTGAGAAATGTCCCATGAGTGATAAACAGCCACAGGAATACCAGGAAAGCACTACTCACCAGGCCTAGAGAAATCCCCACTTGAGCAAGATGATGGCAGGATCTGCAAGGAATGACATGACTGAAAACTAGAACATCCATAGAAGACCTGTAGACAACTTTTAGGTGATCAGCACATCCAGAGTACCTGCCCAGAGGAAGCAATCCTGTTCCAAGAATGAGGTGCCATTTGTGGCCCTAACTTTAATACATACAGCAACATGAACTTTGTGTGACCAGATTCTGGGAGCAGGAACAGCATCTTAGAATATAAAAGAGGAACACCTCAGGGGTCCCTGTGAGCTAACAAAGAGAGAAGAAACTGATGGGGATGGTATCCACAAAGAGAGGAAGTTTTTTGGCACTGCCACAGAAACTTCAAAGTCCTGGTAAATAGGAGCCAGGAAAGCTCAGCTGGAAAGCAGAAATAGAACTGTTGGGCTGACTAAGGAAAGAATAAGGCCAGTAAAAATCTGAGTGATTGAGACACAGTAAGTCCAGTGAGTGAATTATAAAGATGCTGTAGCAACCAAGTTATGTAGGTGTAGACATGGGACCTAAGGAGGCATAATGATCCCTATCTTCAGTGCAGTCCAGCTGATTCCATAGAAGAAGGAAAGCCAGGAGGCCTGTGGAAATGACTAGATGTGTTGAAAAATATGAAGCTGCTTGAAAACCCCTTACAGTGGCCCCAGCTGTAGAAGTTGTTTTGTAGTGTGCCAGCATAAGAGTCAGCCCTGACAACCCCTTCAGGCACAAGTGGAAGAGCCATCCCCAGTAACAAGTCTCATTTAGTCACTGTACAAAAAACACAAGGCATGAAAATGCCACAAGATCTGTGATCAAAGCAGGTACAGTCGGTATCATCCTAAGAAAACTTTAAGAACCTGAGAGATGAGTGCAGAAGTGGGGAATATTCCTGAAGCTGTCCCAGAAGCTATCCCAGTAGTAGGGAATATTCCCAAAATTGTCCTGGTGTAAGTTACAGATATGGGGCTTGTCTTAAGGCCCGCAGTAAGAGATTTTCTATTTGCACATCTAGGCTGGACATGCTCAAGGAAAATTCTGTGTTATAAGCACACATCTTAGAGATCATGAGTTGCCTGTCTGTGTGCTGAAGTACATGGATTCCTGCCAGTTTTAAAGTTGCCTCTGCTATGATTTTGGGTACTGGTGGTAAAGTTCCTAATTGGTAATTAGAACCCAAATATGGAATACAGTTATGAAAAATGCATTTTTGCATAAGGACTTTATGACCTATGGAGATTGCCACCTCTTTATGTCAGCTGTTTTACACTCGTGACCAGCATATAGTTGGATCTGTATCACAGAGAGTGGAAAATGATAGAAAACCGATGTGGAAGGAGGCAAACTACGCTTAAAAGTGAGATAGCTCTACTTAAAGGTAAGCAGAAGTATGATTTAGGAACTGGTTATGTTTCTAGCTTGTCATACTTAAAAATAATATCCTGCATTGTACAGTAATTATAGTAAGTGTTTAATCTAATACAGTTGCTTGTATAAACCCCATGTAATAAAAATATAACATTGTAATTACAGTACATGTATTTGTTTTTGGTATAATGATGTAATATCTTGAAGAATAAATTGTTTATTGTTGCTTTTTTACTTATTGATATACATGTATATATTTATGTCAATAAAAGATGGTATGCCATATTAGTAACATGGTTGCCTGATACTCAATGTCAATCTTCATGTTGTCATTGTAAAGATTGCTGTTTTCTTATTTTTTTCACATTGCTTGACTTGTACCCTAATGTTTTTACCTGATCTATTTCCAGCTTCCCACTTGTACTGTATGAAGTATACTTATTGAGGCAGTCCTAACTCCTTCCACATATTCTTGGGTGTCAATTGCTTCAATTATGTAATAGCCAAATTGGCAGGTTTAATGTTTCTGTAAATGTTTCCAGTGCTTTAATGTTTTCAGTGACTGAAGGTGGATGAATTGTGAGATGGTTCCAACTGAGGATACTTAATCAAGGAGAGAATACTTCCAGCAAGAGCAGACTCTTGCAGATAGACATCCTTGAAGGATTTATTTTTCTTCTAGTTTCTAATTTTTTTCTTGAAGGATTTGGTACTGCTCCATGCTGCATAATTAGGAATGAAATGCTGTTGAGAGAAATATAGTATTGGAATTGGAATTTTCTCATATACAGTATTTTTTCTTCATATTATAACAGTTAACTGAAGCAGACCAGGAGCTGTACAAAAACTTCCCTCTAGTAATCAGTGAACGGTGGCAAACAGAAGTGGCAGAAACTGTGTTTGAAAGTGTAAATCAGGAAGCAGACAAGGTTGAGCACAAACGACGCACGAAACACAAATTTAAGTTTGATACAGATGAAAAAGGTATGTATGTCTCCACAGTATGCAAATTACAAGGCACCTTTCACTTTATTTTTATAAGTAACATTTCACAAAGGTGGAGGGTCTTCATACCTAAACTGTCAAAGGTATTGATAAAGTCCCTGGTGAATGAAACATCTAATAAAATACCATAACCCAAACAGTGTGTTATTAGCATCATACAGTCAGCATATGTTTTCATTTATACAGTTGGACTCCATTTTCCAAAATTGTTGGAATATGACTCAAGGCATATTTGGTTTTTAAAAATATTTGAGTCAAATTCAGAAAATTGCTGTAATTTAGGAAAAAAAGTATGGAAATATTTTTTCTTTATAACTTTTGTGATAGTGCTTAAATAGTTTATCTTTCTAGGTCTCTATATCATGCACAGGTACTGTGATAGTATCTGCATGGTACTTAAATAGTTTGTTTCTACATCTCTGCCATGCACTTCCCCGAATTAAGCCTGAATGCCTTCCACATCCCCCCCAGGCACTGTATAATCCTATGGGTTTAGCGCTTCCCCTTGATTATAATAATAATACGTCTCTGCCATGCACAGATGCTCTTATGACTGTCTACTGCTGCTTCTGTTTCATTTTTTTTTTTAATTTTCTTACAAACATATCACTTCTTTTTCCTAGCATACATCACACTATTTCATTCAGAAGCTTTCTGATGTTATAGCTGAAATGGAAAACAAGATAAAAAAATATTCTACATAGAAAAGTATTGGATGTGCTAAAGAAAAGAGTGTAATTTAATGGGCTTCTTTGAAAAAGAGTCAGTTTGAGTTTTCAGAATTATGGAGTTGATTTATGCAAAAGCTCATATAATCATTAACCCTTTGACTGTTTTGGTCATATATATACATCTTACGAGCCACCAATTTTGACGTATATATACTCATAAATTCTAGCGGCTTCAAATCAAGCAGGAGAAAACTGGTAGGCCCACATGTGAGAGAATGGGTCTGTGTGGTCAGTGTGCACCATATAAAAAAATCCTGCAGCATGCAGTGCATAATGAGAAAAAAAAACTCCGACCGTTTTTTTTATTTAAAATGGCCAATTTGTGGTCTATTTTCATATAGTATTTATGATTGTATTCTCATTTTCTTGGTCTCATTTGATAGAATGGAAAACATATTATAGAAATAGAGGTGATTTTGATTGGTTTTACTATGAAAAGAACCTTGAAATGGAGTTCAGAGTAGGGGAAATGTTTGATTTTTGCCGATGTTCAAAAGTAAACAAATGATGTCATTTTCCAATAAATGTGCAAGTAGCCATTCTAATATGCAGTCATGAATGGGTTGACATAATTTATACAATTATTACAATATTGCAGTAGTCTGCATAACAGTAAATCTTCTAATTTTTGTTTGAATAAAAATTAAATATAAAAAGCAAGAGTAATATCACAGGGGCCTGGAGACATGACTGATGAACAAAGAAAATGTTATTTTAGAGCCAGGAATGTCTGCATTGTTCATTCTGGACCCTATTTTGAAATTGTCATATTTTTTATTTTTGTGAAATTGGCAAAATTGCAAATTTCTGACCACGTTATTGGGTAGTTGAAATCAGTAAATGGGCAGTTTCTTGTACTCAGTCGATAGAAAAAATGGAATTCTAAAGAAATAGCTATGAGTTTGGTCGACTAGAACAATGGAATTAGCCGAAAATAGGACTCAAAGTGGGCAAAATTGCTGATTCGTAAATATCGCCGAGGTCGCTAACTTCGCGAGAGCATAATTCCGTCAGTTTTCCATCAAATTTCGTTTTTTTTTTTTTTGGTGTCATTACAATCGGGAAAAGATTCTCTATCATTTCATGAGAAAAAAATTTTTTTTTTTTTTTTTTTTTTTGGGGGGGGGGGGGGAATTTTGCGACCTCAGGATTTGGGGTTGCAACAGTCAACGGGTTAAGTCAGCTAAAGATCCTTTGGATTACAGAACGCTAGTACACAATTATCAGTTTCAGCTACTTAAGAACATAAGACAGGAGTAACACTGCAGCAGGTCCTACTGGCCCATGAATGATATTTAATCAATAACAACACTGCGACTAGCCAAGGACTTGAACCCATGTCGTTTTGGCTTGCCTTATGGTGAGTGAAAATCACATGACGCTCTAACCCACAGGACCACCAAATCCTACAAAAATCAAGCACCCAGCAGAGCTAGGTATTTTACCTTGATCCGAGGACATACGGTGGTGTGGGTGCCTCTGAGCTAATTTCATTCTATTCGTTCGCCATGAGGCAAGCCAAAACAACATGGGTTTCGAGTCATTGGCTAGTCGCAGCGTTGTTAGTGATTAAATACCACTCGTTCATGGTTAGAATAATATAAAATACTGTTTGTGGAAGCTAGTACACCAAACCAGGAGTAGAATGAAATTAGCTCAGAGGCACCCACATCACTGTATGTCCTTGGATCAAGGTAAAACACCTAGCTCTGCTGGGTGCTTGATTCTTGTAGGATTTAGTGGTCCTGTTGGTTAGACCGTCATGTGATTTTTGCTCACCATGAGGCGGGCCAAAACAACATGGGTTCAAGTCCTTAGCTAGTCGCAGTGTTGATTAAATACCACTCGTTTGGGGTTACAATATATATATATATATATATATATATATATATATTATATACAGTGGACCCTCGACCAGCGATGGCATCGATTAACGATAAATCTGACTAGCGATACATTTTATCGCAAAAATTTTGCCTCGATTAGCGCTAAAAAACTCGACCAACACTATTCGTTCTGTCTGAGAGGCGTCCACTTCTGGCCAGTGTTTACAAGCCAGCCAGCCACCGAGGTCGCTTCCAAGCATACAATCGGAACATTTCATATTATCACAGCCTTTTTAGTGATTGCACCTGCAAAATAAGTCACCATGGGCCCCAAGAAAGCTTCTAGTGCCAACCCTACAGCAAAAAGGGTGAGAATTACTATGGATATGAAGAAAGAGATCATTACTAAGTATGAAAGTGGAGTGCATGTCTCCGAGCTGGCCAGGCTGTACACAAAACCCCAATCAACCATCGCTACTATTGTGGCCAAGAAGACGGCAATCAAGGAAGCTGTTCTTGCCAAAGGTGCAACTATGTTTTCGAAACTGAGATCGCAAGTGATAGAAGATGTTGAGAGACTGTTATTGGTATGGATAAATGAAAAACAGATAGGAGATAGCATCTCTCAAGTGATCATATGTGAAAAGGCTAGGAAGTTGCATGACGATTTAATTAGAGAAATGCCAGCAACTAGTGGTGATGTGAGTGAATTTAAGGCCAGCAAAGGTTGGTTTGAGAGATTTAAGAATCGTAGTGGCATGCATAGTGTGATAAGGCATGGTGAGGCTGCCAGTTTGGACCAAAAAGCAGCTGAAAAATATGTGCAGGAATTCAAGGAGTACATAGACAGTGAAGGACTGAAACCTGAACGAGTGTTTAATGGTGACACTGACAATGTTGTGAAACACTTTAGGAATGTCATAAAGGAACGGGAGGTACAGGCCTCTATGGGCAGATATGTTGTGCGACAGAGGTCCAGTGACTCTCAAGCTGGTCCTAGTGGCATTAAAAGAAGAAGGGAAGTAACCCCGAAAAATAGGCTTGCCACCTCAAGTCTTAATGGAAGGGGATTCCCCTTCTAAACACTAAGACCATCAACACACTCCCCTCTTCCCATCCCATCAATCATCACCAGATCTTCAATAAAGGTAAGTGTCATGTAACTGTGCATGTCTTCAGTTTGTGTGTATTAAAATTAATATTTCATGTGTTAAAATTTTTTTTTTTCAATACTTTTGGGTGTCTTGCACGGATTAGTTTGATTTCCATTATTTCTTATGGGGAAAATTAACTTGACTAACGATTATTCTGACTTACGATGAGCTCTCAGGAACGGATTAATAGCGTTAGTCGAGGGTCCACTGTATATATATATATATATATATATATATATATTATATATAATATATATATATATATATATATATATATATATACATGCAAAACAACCACTCTGAAAGAATAGAGAAATTCCAAGCGCTTTCGTGACTACTCACATTATCAAGGAATTTCTCTATTCTTTCAGAGTGGTTGTTTTGCATATTCTGAAAATCACCTGTTTACTGTGATCTTATTGCATATATATACATGTATATATCCCGTATCCCACCGAGGCAGGGTGACCCAAAAAGAAAGTCCCCAAAAAGAAAATATTTTCATCATCATTCAACACTTTCACTTCACTCACAAATAATCACTGTTTTTGCAGAGGTGTTCAGAATACAACAGTTTCGAAGCAGATGTATAAAGATACACAACATATTCCTCCAAACTGCCAATATCCCGAACCCATCCTTTAGAGTCCAAGCATTGTACTTCCCATTTCCAGGACTCAAGTCCAGCTATATAAAAATAACTGGTTTACCTGAATCCCTTCACTAAATATTACCCTGCTCACACTCCAACAGCTCGACAGGTTCCAAATACCATTCATCTTCATTCACTCCTATCTAACACTCATGCATGCTTGCTGGAAATCCAAGCCCCTCACCCACAAAACCTCCTTTACCCCCTCCCTCCAACCTTTTTGAAGATGACCCCTACCCCGCCTTCCTTCCCCTACAGATTTATACACTCTCCATGTTATTCTACTTTGATCCATTCTCTCTAAATGACCAAACCACCTCAACACCCCTCTTCAGCCCTCTGACTAATACTTTTATTAACTCCACACCTTCTCCTAATTCCCACACTCCGAATTTTCTGCATAACATTCACACCACACATTGCCCTTAGACAAGACATCTCCACTGCTTCCAATCGCCTCCTCGCTGCAGCATTTACAACCCAAGCTTCACAACCATGTAAGAGTGTTGGTACTACTATACTTTCATGCATTCCCTTCTTTGCCTCCATAGATAACATTTTTTGTCTCCATATATAACTCAATGCACCACTCACCTATTTTTCTTCAACAGTTCTA